TCTGACAACGTCTTGCCCCCTTACTACATATAGTTCAGATGTGGTGTATTATGAACATAACAGTACCTGATGAGCGATCTCGTGCACTACTATTACAGCAGTCAATTGAAGGTCAGAATTGGTATGAATTGCACTGTCGTATAGCAAAGTAGACTCGCCATATATTATCAAACCCAAGTTTTCCATAGCTCCTTTCTGATCTGGAATTGCTACCATATCTGTAGATTGAAGTACGCATCGTTATGAGCTTTTTAATATTTTGAGAAATAAAACAAGGTAAATTGTATGAACAGATATATGACGTCACGGCGAATTTACAGGAGAAGTCTAGTCGATTTTGTTATTTTTATTTATTTAATTACATAATTTAAGGTTAATTTTATGATTGGCGCAAAGTATAGATAAAGGTCATGTGATTGGCGGGTTCGCATTTAAAGATGTGCATAGTAACTAGAATTCTCGTTGTGTTTGAATATACTTCGGGTCCGTGGCTGATCTGAAATATATACACTGCCCAGCAAGAGTTGGTGACTTGCCGCAGGCAACTCTGCAAGGAGTAGAACTAAATCTACTAGCTCGTGCGAGTATTTATTTCATTGAACGAACGAACGATCCCTGAATACGGTTCTTGAATGACAAGACGTATTTTATCAGTCCATGCGACTCCATCGGACTTTCCACGGCCGCTTGTACTCGCGCTATACATGCCATGTATGACGTCATGTCATGAATTTGATGAAATTATAAGTACAATTTCCTTTTAATAGCACTTACCCATTTTATCCGCCATGTCGTAGTACGGCAAACCAAATATATCATCGAAGTACGTCATCAGTTGACTGCCTATATTCAAAGAGTAGTCCACGGTGTGTATTTTCTCCGGGATGGAACACACTCTTAGCTGCAAATCAAGGATGAGAGATAACTTTTAAACGTTACAATAGTCACAGAGTTCGCATTCCGTTGTACGCGCGTTATGTACGTCGTATATATGGGTCTCATATAGAACACAAGGCGACGACTGTTTTACATAAATATTACCCTAAAATATACACCAATGTTCAGATTTCATACATTCTCTCACGTGACATTGTGTAACATGCGAATTTCAAATATAGTACTAGTAATAATTATTTCATATCGCATTTTATGTTAATGAGCATGACGTTTGTGTAAACTCACATCAATATCTCTGGCGGTTACTGACGCCTTGCACTCGAGATCAGCAACAACTATTGCTACCAAATAGGTTGACATGACAGGGGAAGGTTCGAAATATGATGTCTTCCAGTCGTTTTCGTGGTTTTCTTCTCTGGCGATTCGCATGTTGCTGTATGCTTGCCTCCTTCTGCGGTGCCTTACAGCTATGGTGAACACGGCCTTGAATTTGGGCTCATCGAGGCAGGGGAACATGCGACGAGCGAAAACGGTTTGCAGCTGAGTACCTGCTATATACCTGGGAGGAAACTATAAAGTATTAATGATCGATTTGAAGTTGAATATTTGCTATTGGGAAAAAAACAACGTCACGCACTATGTACCAAATTTGTCCACGGTCTGGTTGCGATCCGGCCCGTGACGGCTAGTTGCATACTAACGTCTCAATGGAACACTGTCGGAAAAATACTACTTGACTAGGCTTTTAAATTAAAGTTCTGGCGAACAAAAGCCTTTTCCCGACACAGTATTGAATAAATAATTGGGATTCCCTTCCTTTTAATACACCAGGCAGTCAAGAATCCGGGGCAGTTCATGTGTTTTATCAAAACTTCTTTGTTATTAACAATGCAAAAAAAGTTTCGATAGGCACGAGCGGATCAGATCGATTCGTCTTCGCGCCTTACGGTAGAAATCCATTGTGGTGACCATAAGTCTTAGAGCGGATTCGAGAAGATAATCTCTCTTGAATTAAATAGCTTTTCAATGCATCGTATCTCCAGGACGCGCAATATATTGATATATCGTTTTGACCCGAAAAGCAAAAAACAACAACATCGCGATGTAATTTACATTCATTCAATATGCATATACGATCATGGAATACCTCCATGATACGATCCAACACCTCCTCAGCGAGTAACCGTCTATCAGTAAGTGCTTTTGCGACTGTGGTATGTGGGCCGGCATCACTCCCATCACCAATGTGTCAATTCGAATAGCACGCTTTCGCTAGTAGCAACAGAAAGGTCGACTCAACCCACAGCATGACATTTCACTGCATTCACACGACCTTATAACAAACAGAGATTACTGCCGATAGTTGTATACTGTTAAAATAATCCCATATAGTCTATAACGCATGCTTCTTGTTGGTGTGTTGAAACGTGACAAAAGAGGTCAGGATTCCTGTGATACCGTAGATCACAATAGTTGTATCGCAACTGTCACCCCCCCCAGTACAAGTTGTATTATGCGGATAATTATGTTTATCATCGCAACGTATACTAGTACTCAAATAACATTTTATACAATTTTTGATTGACAGGGATAACTATCAATATTTAAAATATCACAATTCTATAATGTGTTTATAGAATTTTTATTTCATAATATTTTGTTTTAGTTGTGATGGTTATGACTGCATTACATAGCAGTCAGGTGCTGTCAATCTATTAATATAACTAGACTATACTTTTAACTTATTGTATTATTTCGACAATGTTTCGTGTTTTTTTTTCTTCATACAAATATATTTCAGCAAGTCGAGACCATGTTGAGATAAACTCCACATTTGAAATGATTCGTTGTGTACGTAGTCTCTGGCTTAACTGTCATCACATATGAGAATTACATGTTTAGAATTCTTTGTGAATAGGCCTTGTACCTTGTATGACCACTCACTCGTTCCTCACTCGTTGTATAAATAGCATGTTACATGTTTAATTAGAGTAAACTTTAAACAAGACTGGCCATCATATCATCCCAAGAATTCAAGTTAGATAAGCTGTAACTTAGAGGTCGTGTTGTGCGCGTGATTGATACGCCTATTAAAAGGAATCATGTCATCTGCGGTCAGCTTTTGCATTCTGGTGACACCGTCGTATCGTTCGGAAACATTTCTCATTAGTGAATGCGTTCACTTACACAAAAAATATATGATAACGCACACACGCGTGATTTACAAGTTTGTAAACGAGTGTCAAGGCAGTTTGGTTAATGTGTCATGTTTTCTGAGCGCGGCGTGTTGATGATTATGTTGTTTATACTATGTAGTATAGCATATCGCATTACACGTCTCGTTTTATCACAGACATATCTGACAAATTTATTCGTTATTTATAGCAATGCTAAGTGATGTACATGTTCGTTGTGAACAGACCGCTCTGATAGCATTGTGAGTGTGCCAGCGTACCGCGGGCGGCGTATAGAGACGTGCTGGGCTGTGGTAACAGTGTGGGCATCCCGAATTTAATTCATTTTTAGGTGGTTAGCAAATGAATAGTTCAACGTATTCCACAGAAGTTGATTCAATTTCCACCTAATGATGTTAACTTGAATATTTTGAGTTTTACAGTTTCAGTTTGTGTGGCAAAATGTTTAATGTGATGGAAATTTTTTTCGAAACATTACGCCAGATAAATACATATTGACGGCAATATATAATCACCCATGGATTATCGCGAAAACTGTGCTTACCACCACATATTATACTTCGTACTTTATAAATGCGTGGAGGGCTTTTTGGGATCGATATCGCTAATTGAAAATGTGATCATTTAGAAAAAACGTTAGAACAACCGAAATTTCACTTTGTGGTCTTTTCTCATATAAATTAATTTCTGTGCATTTTTTTTTATTTGAGGATTGGTGAACTAATCTCTTGATAACTGTTAACTCTACGAATGCATTCAAATATCGAATTATGTCCGTTTCTCGATATCAGTGACAACTTAAAGCGTTTTAGCTTTGTAATACCGAACACACATGCATCTTAATCTTAAAGGCTCTCAGAAGGAGTTGCATTTTAACACAAGCAAGATGTTTATTTTAATAGTCTGGAAAATGGATTGGCGTTTTTGTTGTCAGTGTTGAACCGAAAAATACTAGCCTAAAGTGCGGCAGCGTGACCTTGCCACGCTCCACTGCATCAATCAGGAGCGCACATGCCAAGTGCTCAGTCGGCTCGTCTCTCAGACAAACCAACAACACACCTTTAAAATTCATGAATAACTGCATGGTTTCATAGATTCCCAGGCACCCTACTCAGTCAAGAAAATAAATCGTTCCGGGGGTTTCAATAATATTATTCAAGTGCTCAATCTCAACTGCAACCTCATTTCATTTAATTTAATTTCAGTCCCCCGAAACACTGTGACAACAGGGACCACAAAATACAACGAGTTGCCAGTTCAAACCAGATGAGCCCTACGACTGATATGTGGTTCGCTAGATTGTACTTTACACGCACGTGAGTGATGGCGCATATTCATGACTCAAACTTCCCCCCGGCGTCGCGATTAACCGAACGTTGGTTGACATTGACGACTTTGACATTGAACATACGTATTACCTAAACATACTATGCGCATGGCTGATGGAGCACAGTTCAGAAGGCACCTTGACTTTCTATGTTATTGGCTGTTCTCTGAAAACAAGGAATGTATAAAATAAAAAGTGGTACATATTTAGTGTAACGCAAAAAGTGTAAATATCTTGTGAATTCGACTTGAATGTTGAGAGATACCTACGACATTATATAAATTCTCAAGTTCCATCATCATGAAATACTACTCATACGAGAAATGCAATGAAGTTGAATCGTAGATCATTAATCCTCCGTTGGTGGTACAATAATTAATATTTTAAGTGTCGGTTGGTGGCCTTAAATTCAGTATATCGCTGTAATTTGAGTGTTGATGTGACAGGTACACGCTGTTTGTGTTTTGAAACGATGCATAAACGAGCCACGGGATCAGGGTTGTTCCCGTATGAGTTAGATCCTTGTTTACGCTGTTTGAACCCACCTCACGATGGGTTATAGCCAAAGTACATGGAGATGGCGGCATATCGCCGAGTCTGTATCCCACGACAGCGCTCTAGTTGTATTTCAAGGCCATTCGTGAGAAATACCCCGGGCCGTGTTCTACGACTGGCCAGGAAACACCTAGAGCCGTTACACTTATACAAACATTATACACATTTACTGATACGTCTCAATTGTTTGTATTACGTGACATTTTGAAAAATAATATCACAGAAACCATAACGGCACTATCATCAACTCGGCGCATCGCATATGCAATTTGATAATGGTATGTTTACAAACAATATGGGGACTTTATGTTATGAAAAGTTTCATGATAAGTTTACACAATGACAAGGTTGGTAAGTGTAAGAGTCAGATGATTAGCTCTGATATACATTTCAAACAAGAACACCACCTACCGTATTTGATGGTCCACCTCGTATGTTACGTAATAAAACCCCAGATATTCCTGGTTCAATGTGCCGTTATACATCAGACTTAAGGTGTATTTTTGACCAACTTCTAGTGAGGTTTCAATTTCAATAATGAAAAAATGATAGCGTTCCTCTTCTCGTACGTCAATTATTTCTAGTTCATTGGTCAAGTCATCCGTCTTTAAGGATAGTGTGTCTATATGAATTGCCAGCATATCCTTGTGCAATGTGAGAGACGATGTGACTTCGGTGCAAACGAAAGTAAAATGGAGTTCACCGTCGAAGGTAAGCTGCTTTTCCCCGTCTTCATCGTCCAGAAATACTGTCAATTGCACCCAGTAATTAAGTGGGTTAATAACATCTGATAGACGTCCCCCAAAATACTCCTTTTCTCCCAATATATCTTCGTCGGTTGGTGACGGCGTGCTCGGAATTGCAGTCCGCGAAGCCCCACGTGTTTCCTGTGAGCATGTTGGAATGAAGTAGGCAACCAGCACTGCACCGATGACGAGCAGTAGCAGAAGTAGAGCTACCACCACAGCCAGCGGTTTCGACACAAACCAACCGGTTTGGTTGTTGCTGCCGACAAAGTGCACCTGATTGTTCTCCGCGTCTTTCCTGACACACACGTCGTGTGGCTTGGAATTCATATCGCCGGTACGTATATTTGATGTATACAAACCAAGCTATATAATCGCACGACTGTTCTAAGGCAGCGTACTGGTGATACGCAGACCAATCAGTGGCGTTGACGGAGTTTCACTGCAAGACGTTTGCTGAATTAAGGGCAAAGTTCACCAGTCCAGGCAACTTCTTTGCTGTACATGACTGGTTACGAATTCCGCTAGTCGTATTTTTTTAACGCTATGTTGCGTTTCCCCAATATAAATAGTTTCATTTCAGCGAACCGGTTTGTTGTAATGTATAACGCTTTCTCCTGCGTGACACCACGAAGTAGACGATTCCAAATGACACACGATTGCAGGTCATCTTTCGACACATCTATGCAATAAAATGAATCCATGCTTACAGGTAGTATGTGCCGCTACACTGTTTGATGTTAAATTGGCAGTAAGAAACCTTTTGTATTCATTTCACAAGTTCCTGATTGAATGGTAAGTGATGTTTTGCTGGAATTGAATGATGGGTGGGACACTGTTAATGACTTCAGTACCAACACGAAGTTGATTAATCTTTCATTTCTTCCGGTGACGTCACCGAAACAACTGAGCATGTGGAATTGTAATGGTGCGTGTTACTTTGTAGTGTTCCTGTGCGTGCCAATCTGAAGGCTAGATAGGAGTTGATATATAAAGGGAATTCCATATTCACATTATATAGTTTAAGCACCCACCCACCGATTGCAGAAACCATACTTCAAAGTATACGTTCGGCTATCGATGAGCAAACACCAAGCGGAACATGTAATTATTTTCAAACGGGGTTGTACACCATCTCAGAACTATATATGAACTTGAAGGATTTGATCGAGTTAATTTGTCAAAGTATTCCGGTCGTAAAGATCAGATTTATTATAAATCGAAAACGCCTGTACGTGACATATGTCTAGGGAGCGAATCTCGCTGTATACCCCCTACCTTGACATATCTCCTCATGGACCGATATGAGGTTTTGCCACCTAGTACGTGACATATGTCTAGAGAGCGAATCCCGCTGTATACCCCTACCTTGACATATTGCCTCCTAGACTGATATGAGGTTTCGCCACCAAGTACGTGACATATGTCTAGATAGCGAAGCCCGCTGTATACCCCTTATCTTGACATATCCCCTCCTAGACCGATATGAAGTTTCGCCACCTAGTGCGTGATATTTGTCTAGAGAGCGAAAATCCGCTGTATACCCCTATCTTGACATATCCCCTCCTAAACCAATATGAGGTTTCGCCACCTAGTACGTGACATATACCTAGAGAGAGAATCTCGATGTATTCCCCCTAACTTGACATATCCCCTTCTAGACTGATATGAGGTTTCGCCACCTAGTACGTGACATATGTCTAGGGAGCAAATCTCGCTGTATACCCATATCTTGACATATCCCCTTCTAGACCAATATGAGGTTTCGCCACCTAGTACGTTACATATACCTAGAGAGAGAATCTCGATGTATTCCCCCTAACTTGACATATCCCCTTCTAGACTGATATGAGGTTTCGCCACCTAGTACGTGACGTATGCCTAGAAAGCGAATCCCGCTGTATACCCCCTACCGTGACATATCCCCTCCTAGACCAATATGAGGTTTTGCCTCCTAGTACGTGATATATACCTAGAGAGCGAATCCCGCTGTATACCCTACCTTGACATATCCCCTCCTAGACCGATATGAGGTTTCGCCACCTAGTACGTGACATATGTCTAGATAGCGAAGCCCGCTGTATACCCCTTATCTTGACATATCCCCTCCTAGACCGATATG